GGTCATTAATCAATTGCTTCCTTATTGTAACATATACGCCCTATGGTTTTACTTATCTGCGAGTGATTGTTGTAATCTGCAATATGCTACTGTAGTAGTTTACTGTTATGTTATCCAGATCGAGTGACATATTAAGGAGTATATTAGTGACCTACACTGCAATGCTGGATGATATTGCTATGTTCATTATAGGCGCGCAATTTATGTTATATGGTAGAAAAACGAGAGAAGACCAAATTATCTGCATTGCAATGCTGGATCGATACATACAAATGTGTTTATCAGATGTTAACTGAAAAAAATGTTCCTTATAGCAACAGAGTCTTAAAACGACTCATTCATGCGGTGAGTTCAATGCAGCAAACATTATTAGACGCAGGTGATATTGCCACTTCACTTGGAAGTTCTCTTGTTTCATCGCCATCGAAGTTGCTGAGGTCACCATCTCCTCCTCGGAAACATCTGTCAGTGGGCAATCGCCTTCGTGAAAGGAATGGATTGTCGCATCATTTACGAAAACATGCTATGCAGAAAGTTCTTTTCACTGCAGACACATTTATTAAAAATTCTCAGAAATCGTTTGCATCGGGTCATTATAGTTTGCGGGCATAATTTAAACGATATTCTTGTTCGTTATTTTTCCATTTTGTTTAAATCTTTCTTTTGTGGATTTTTGATGATCGAAATTGTATTGTCTTGCGATTTTTTTTTTTCATTTTTAGTCCAGCTGGCATTTCCTGTGATGTGAAGATACGAAAGCTTCTTCTTAGGTATTAGTATGACGGAGAGTCTAAACACATTTTATTACAAAATTGCGGTTTTAGAACAAAAAATTATTCATTTTCATGAATATAATAATTCTTCTGCTTTCACTTAAAAGTTCTGAATCGGAATAAATATTTTTTTTAAATTTTCTGTTATTCAAAGCTGAAGCGATGATAATACATTTGAAAGTTACTTTTCCAAAATCCTTTTCAATAGCAGCCGTAATTGCTTACTGAGAAGTTTAAAAAAAAATGTTAGAAATTAAACTACAAACATTCGAGTATTTTCGGCATTATGATGCAATGATTTTCAATTCCTATATATAGTCAGTAGCACTTGAAAACGTAATTCTAAATTTGAATTATAATTAACATTTCCTGTGATGTGAAGATACGAATGTCAATAGTATTGACAATCGTATTGAGTATTGACAAATATTGACAGTCGAAGTCATAATGATACCATACCATATCACAGATACTGCTGTATTCCAATGACAATCAAAATTTAGTTGCAGAAGATATTTTAATACTTCAAGTATTAGAAATATTCAATGCATGAGAGAAGAGAAGGAAAAATAGAGTAAACCATAACACTTATTTTCCTTATTTACTCATTTTTATATGCGACGATTACATTAACGAAATTAAAAATTCTCTGGTTAAAATAATTTCAACTTCATATTATTAAGAGAATTAGAAATTCCATGGTTAAAATTCAATTTGGCAGTCAAGTAAGTAATATCTCTGAAATCGGAACATACAATAAATGTCAATATATCCCTGAATTCGAAGCATCCGAAGACATTTTTCTTTGGTGATTTTTTTCTTGAACAACAATCAAGGATTTGGATAGAGTTTTAATAATTTTCAGAAAGTGGCATAAGTTTCTAATGACGGCGAAATAATTTCTTTGCTCAGTTAAAGTAATTGATCAAGTAATATTCAAACTGAATTCGAAAACAATAATATTTGGTAGAACATATGTGCGAACTTTTTTCGATTCAGTATTTCGGTGTTTTATAAATTCGATGTTTTATTTGATGTTTATGGGTTATAACTTTATTAACTGCAAATTATTAGTGTGATTTTCTTTTCTTCTTAGTTAAATGAATGATGAAAGCATTACTTTTGTAGATGAATGCCACATTACATAATATTCAGAATACCAATTTTTATGGCTAAACATTTCGAGCGGTAAAATATTTCCAATTTACAAAATATTTTATAAAATTATAATTTATTTTGTTGAAACAAAACAATCATTCATTGTAAATAGGAACTTGAATCAGCACTATATGCACTGCATTTTGCTTGGTCCCTTTGAATAAACAGAAAACACGGAACAAACATTTGACGATACTTTTTTCCTCCATTATTTTTGAAATTTGAAAATTGATTCAGTTTCCTCCTTTTTTAGTTTTAGTTTTAGATATGTGTATACCACATCTCTACAATAACCTTAATAAGCAATAAGAAAAAACGTTTTTGCTAAGATTTCTAAAGTCCGAAAATTTCAAAAATCTAATTGCTAAAATATAAATTATATATCTATATATATTATATAGATATAAATGATATATATTTATATTCATTTACTTTTAAACATTTTTGTCTAAATGATACCGTTTGAATTTTATTTATTCCTTAAAATATCCAAAACAAATTTTCAGACACTTTATATTTATAATTAGCAGTAGCAAACAAATTTGATATCGCTGAAACAGTATATAATTTATCATGAAGAGTTAATAAATTATTTACATTTCAAAAATTTGATAATTTAAATAAAAGAAAAGACGACAAATTGTTAAAAAGGAATAAAAAAGTTTGAAAAAAAAAGGAACTTTCACTTTTTAGCTTTTCTTTCGAAATTTTATACTAAAAATAAATTTTCATTTTTAAAGTTTGATTTAAGTTTTCCAAGAATTTTTTACGCGTTAATAGAACAAATTTCAATAAAAATTACCACCGTTACTGCACTGTTAATCACCACTGACCACTTGCTGATTGCCATTGATCACCACTGACCACTTGCTGATCGCAACTGATCACTACTGATCACTTGCTGATCGCCGCTGATCACCACTGACCACTTGCTGACCGCCACTGATCACCACTGACCACTTGCTGATTGCCATTGATCACCACTGACCACTTGCTGACCGCCACTGATCACTACTGACCACTTGCTGATTGTCATTGACTTCCACTTCGACCGTTTTTGGAAATTTTTGTCAATGAAAGCTGAGGCAATTAAATTGCTTACATTAATTGTTTGCTGATATTATCTATATATCAATTAAAAGTTATTTTGGTGCAATTAAATGATGTAAACATATGTTATTGAAACATTGAAAGATTAAATTACTTTTGTAAACAAAAATTATTTTCAAATTTAATAAGAAAAAAAATTTAATACCAATTTGATTATGCGTTCTCTTCCATTATGCCTAAGCGATCGAAGAATTAATAAAACAAAAACAAATGGAGAACACAGTTATAATAGAATTTGTTTAGGAAAAAGAAATTTTTTTTAAAGTTTTTGCTTATTTTACAAATGCCTGTTTGTCATTTCTAAACATTTTTTTCTCTCATTTTAATATTTTAAAACTTAATATTTCAATAAAATTTTAATAAATTAAACAAATTTCTCAATTTCAATGATTGTTTCTTTTTATTTTCTCTGTAGGAATTATTTTTCTAATTGTGGAAATGATTAATTGATGTAGCAAATTAATGATAATTTATTGTATATATGATAATATATATGGAAATCATCAAAAAAATAACCATCAATTACATTTCATACAGTTTGTTTAACACATTAATTTTCATTTGTTAATTGTTTTTCTGATTTTTTTAAGATCATTTTTAAATAAAGATTCTAAAAAAAAATTCACAAACGAGCAAATTATTTCAATTATTTTATTGTTTTTTCAACAAAAAAACGATTAAATTTTGGGCGATAATGTAAAGTTTGAATTATAAATCACTTTTCTGCTAATGTGATTGTTTTATGATGTCATCCGATCGGAATTGTATTCTGTTCAATCTAAATTAATAATTCATTTCTTCAAAACAATTATTGCACCGCTATTATTGCTAATTACTACACTGCAAAATATGCGTCATATGATTGTTGACATACTTAGGCGTTGACATACTTTTACCGCTGTCATACTTTGACCAATTTGTGACATCAAAGAGCAGATCGTATAAATATAAACAATAACTTAAGATTAAAAAAAATCTTTTTTTGAAAATTTTGATCAATTTAAAATTGAATGATACTTAGATTATAAGTAAAAGATTTTTTCTCTTAGCATTAACAATAATAATAAAAGTTACCACAGTTAAGCATTATTATCCTCTGCATGACATATAGTTTATTCACATCACTGTTAGTCTTAACTTGTATTAATAAGTAAATTATGATATAAATAAATTAAATGTTTGATAAAAAAGAAGCTTAAGGAAGTAGAGATAATTATAAATGCTTAATTGCAATAAAAATATAATTAGCAAAAAAAAAAAAACTCTCTAATTTGAGGCAATTCAAAGGAAATTATCAAAAAACTATTCTGTAATTTGTAGGTGACAAAGAGACGAAAATTATCAAAAAATATTTTTTATAATTTGTGAAATCAAAGAAAATGATTTCAGCAAAAACCTTTCCGAAATTAATAACTTTACAAATTATTATTATTATTTTGTTTGGATAATTACAAATAATAGGAATAGCAATGAAAAAAATGCAAAATGTCGTTAATTGCGGAAAATTTTTCTCGCATCTGTTAAATCATAGATCATTTATTCATTATTAATTATATCACTAACAAATTTATTTAATTCCAAATATTTGTATGCGTGAAATACTACTTTAATAAAATGAAATTTAATGAAAAATGAAAATCAAGAAAATAATTAAAGATACAAATAAAACATTACCTTTTTACCTAGCTAACCGCCCACTGTTTCTAACTCACTTCTATTATAACGTAGTACAATTCTGTCATCATGACAACCATATGCTTTTTGAGTGCCATAAAAATGTTTTTCTTTTTTTTTTTTTTTCCTTATTACATTTAAAAAAATTTCGTTGTTATTTTGTTGCAGTAATACAGAATTTATGGAAACATTTATTGTACGCAACCAATAAATTAGCAGTGGCTGTAGGCGAAATTCTATACACAAATTTTGCTGATTAAATTATTCGAAAAGTGAAAAAGTAGAATGAAAATTCTAAAAGTGCTAGCAACTTCCATTATCACTCTGCTACAAGGCATTCATTCGATTATTACAGGTAATTTATGTGTAAGGACTTTTTCTTTAAGTTGGACAATTATGAAGCAAAATTTTGCTGGAAATTTAATTTATCAGAAAATCTGTTAAATTTAAAAGATGGCATTCTTAATTTGAAACTTAAAATTTACACGATAACACTAATGAATGTCTCATATTATTGTTTATTGGTGTAAAATTAGTAATTGTGAAATTTTGCCCTAACAAACAATAATATGAATTACTTTTTATTACTCCTTTGTTATTTTCTAACTTGGTCATATTTCGTTGAAATTGATTAAAATTTTAAATTTGAATTAACATTCACTTTTCCATTTTGTTAATACTAACAAATGTACATTTTTATTTTCCATTACTTTCAAATTGCTTTTATCTAATTCACCTTTTTAAAACAACTAATCAAACTGACGAGTGATTTATTCTCCGAATTTGCGCTTCCAATTCCCGATCACTATTAATGAAGTAACCGCTATCTTCAAAATTTTATTTTCAAAAATTGGTTGATACAGTAAGGACATATGCGAAATTAAAAAAGTCGAAATAGCTGGGAAATAAAGTAAGCAATATTGTTAGCCTTTTCCGTCAATATTCATGAACTAAAAAAAAGAACGAAAAGTTTTCTGATTCATTAATTAAGGTTTCTGTTAAATCTGTGAAAAAGAAGCTAAATGCATTCTTTTTGTTCAGATGATTCATACCTTTAATTATGATATTATCAATATTTTATCGAATAATCGGGTAATTTAGCAAATGAAAAATGCTGAATTTTTATTCAATCCCCATTTTATTCTGCAAATTATTATGGTTAAACTTTAATAGCTCATTTGATTATTAGATATATTTACAAAAAAAAAAAAAAAAACATTTTGTTGAGTAGTTGATATTATCAGATAAGCAATCATTTCTTAAAAGAACAATTTTTTTCTAACTGCACAATTTCAATGGTATTTTTAAAATGATGATTGGTAGGTAACCTTTCATCCATCCTATTAACAACCAAATTCAAAGTCATTTCCCGATCGAATTTTATGAGATTTTTCTATGGCCAGTTTTCAACTTTTGAAATGCTAACATACTGCCGCATTCTTCCTTCTTTTAACCGAACTGAAATTAAATTCTATTAAAATTTCTTTTTCCAATTTTCAAGCAATTTTATATATTTACTAAATTTAGACAAATGAATCTAATCCAACAGTGAACTAAATAATATTTTATGGATTTAAAGAAATAATTGAATATTCAATAAAATATGTTTTTATCCTCAAAAGAAACTTTTACTATTTATTATTTCTGTAATCGTTATTTTGGCTGTGCATTTCTATTATTTCTATTATTATTCTGTGTAAGCTTTATCATATCTTTTATCAAATTGGTAACTCTTTATCATGACACTTATCAAATTATATAGTTTCTTGACATATTTATCTATTCTAATTAAGAAATTAGATTTTGCTACGATTATCTTTTTGACTGATGAGAAATGATATAATTTCGGATTTTAATCACCCATTCTATCATGCTATTCAAATGCATTTGATAATGAAGCTTAACCTTTTCAAAATAAAAGAATAGGATAAAAAAACTTTCTTAGGCAAATTAAAAAAATTAAATTAAAAAATCTTTAAAATATAATTTTGGATTTTAAAACCGGATAAATTTAAAAGACCGGAAGGTATTAAAATCCGTCTCAAAATGTTACACATCATTCCAAACTATTATTTTGTAACAACAAACTTTTGTAATCATGCTAAGTGCATAAAAATTTTGAAGAAAGAAAGAGAACAAAAATTAGAAATTCGGAAAGTAAAAAAAGTTGTCAGATTGTAATTTTTAGTTAAATAAATTATAAATAAATATGGCTTTAATATTACCAAATGACAATTATAATTTTTAAATTTGATGATTGACTCAATTTTTACCACTAAGGCAAAGAGATTAGTTTGCCTACAGATTTGTTCAAAACTAAAAAGTTTTGGTTTGTCTAAAAATATTTCAGTTTCATTACCTTTTAGGTACTTCTTTTTCATTTTTTTCCTTATCTTTCTAATAAACGAAAGAACTTTAGGAATGAAACTGAAATATTTCTAGATGAAATATTTTTATTATTTTAATGAATTAAATAAAATCTTATAAAACAAAAATGTATAAAATTTTTTCAAATGTACGGGTTCATCAAATTACAGGGACAAAAGCAAAAGGACCAAGACGATCGCTTTCATTTGGAGAAAACGAGGAAAAATTAATGATAACTTGGGCTAACGATTCTAAGAACAAAAGTGATAACAATATTGATAATAATAATAATAATATAGTGCATCGTACACGCATGCTTACAAGTTATCATGCATTTACTATTGGTTAAATTTGATGAGTTAACTCATTTAAAATGAGTTAATGGAAATGGATGCGTATTTCAATATTTAGTACTTTCGTCGTCATTGTTAGTGTCATGTATTTTCAAATTGAAATATGCTCTTTTATTATCAACTTATCGTGTCGTATTTAATATAACGATTAATATTTGGTATAATAAACAATAATAAGACGAGTAATGTGAATATGTAAATGCAAGCAGATAATCAGATCATATAATTGTCAAAAAAAGCCAACAGAAAAAATGTCAAAAATTTCTTTATCAGTATAAAATAAATCAACTGAACACTTATGATATTAAAATTCTTGGACATTTACGACGAAATAGAAGACTAAATTAAAAAAAAGAAAAATTTTTTAGTATATTTCAGTAAAATGAATTTTAATTAGCAAAGTGCATAAATTAAAATGTTGCATATTTTTTTCGTTTGCTTACTTAAATTATTGAATGAGTTTACTATAGATTTTCTTAATTTAATTTTCTTTAAAATTTTTTCAAAAATTTAGCAAATGATATTTGGCATATATTGAAGAAGGCTTAGAACACAGGCATGTAAAGAGAGCAATTCCATGACAGTTGCAATATATGACTGTCAACAGATGGCTCTCTTTGTCGTCTGCGTTCACCATTTCCATTGCTGAAAACGCTGAATTTAGGTAAGATACTGTAATACAGTAATCAATAAATGATGAAATATATTTGAAAATGAGAAAAAAGCAATGAGTAAAGAATGCATTGATTGAGTGGTAAATTAGCAGTAATTGTATCATATGGTAAACAATTTCATCTTATTCTTTTAATTAATTTAAATAAAACTTTCGAGACTATTTCATTTCATTTGTTACGGTGAAATTTAATTATTAATTATGAAACAAAGAGTAGAATGATAGAATTTTGCAAATTAATTAAAAGCATAAAATATGGTGATTCATTCATTCATTAAAATTAATTAATGAAAATAACTGAAAATAATTAACATTATTATCAAAATGACGCATTACATATATAAAACACTTCTTACTCTTTTAAAATAATGAAATTTTTACATCGTTTATGTTTCTATTAAACAAATAAACAAAACATGGAAACTTCCATATATTTTACGTAAATCTACCTAATTTGAAAACCTCTCATCAAGCTATTTAATTGAATTTGTGATTTTATAATGAAGAAAAAAGTGATAATTAACCGATTTCAAATTTGTGAAATGTTCTTCTTGAGAAAGGTTGCATTCGTTTGTTTTCAGAAGAAAATAAATATTAATAAAATGAAATGATATTGAATGAAATTTTTGGAATTTATTACAATGCTAATGAAAAACAAAATGATAGAATGGGATAGAATAGGACAGAATTAGAAGAGAATAAGAAAAAATTAAAATGTGCATATGGTATGGAATGAAAATGGTAGTGGAAAAGAAGGAAGAAGAAAAAGATAAATAATAAATTTAATGCAATTTATTGGAATTTATCATGAAATCATTAGTAGAATATAATATAATATAATGCGATAGAATAGAAGAGAATAAATAAAATGGAATAGAATAGAATAAATAAAATGGAATAGAATTAGAATATATAAATGTTATAAAACGAAAAATAGAAATTGGAAAGAAGGAAAAAGAAGTAAATGGCAAATTTAATGTTTCGTCCAATAAACATTTTCTACAAAAATTTCATCGGTTTTAAATTAACGTTGGATAATCAACTAACCCATCATAAATGACTATTTCCATTTGATGAAATCAGAGAGGAAAGAATGAGGAAGAGGGAGAAAAAGAGAAAGAGAGAGAGAGGAGAAAATCTAGAGAAAGAAGAAAAATGTGGACAAATAAGTTGAAGACAGTTCAATTAACAAATTACAGTTTAAATTTAGTTCAATTTAGAGTTCAATCAGTTTTATTGAACAATCACTCATTGATCAATGAATTATTTTCGTGGAAATGCTCTCACTCATATCCTCCTTTTATTGTTCATTGATTGGTTGCAGTTTTATGATTTCCACACTGAAACTACTAAATTATCAACATCATCACTTCTCTCTCCTCTGTCCTCTTCTTCTCTCTCCCTCTCCCTCTCTCTTTCCCTCTCTCTCTTCTTATCTCTTGATTAATTCTTTTATAGTGAAAAAGAACTAAACCATACAATGCTTACTACTATTTCAAATAAGAAAATTCTTTTTCCTAAAAAGAAAACAATTTTATGCATTTTTTTCTTTTTCTCTCAATCATCAACCGATAATTAAAAATGATACGATAGGCACAACGATAATGTCACCAACTGTCATTCATTCTTTCTTTTTTTTTTTTTTCCTTTTCCTTTTTCTTTTAAATGTTTAATTTTTGTTTGGTGGAATAATTTGTTGATAGATGTGAGTGATTAAATCAAATTAAATATAAATGATTGGAGGGATAACTTGGCCATACTTGGCTAAGTACTTGCAATCATTTGTATAAACAAAATTTATTCAAATATCACTAGAAGTTTGCTGTTTAATGCAAACTGTTTCAAACTGCAAATTTACTGCAGAATGTAAGTTATTGCAAAATTTCTCATTAATTAAAATGATGCTAATTGGACATAAACTAATATCAATGCATTAATAGAAATGGCAGAGAGAGAGAGAGAGATGAACTATTTGCAATTTGAAATAATTGAATAATTGTGTACCATTGATATAATTAGATTAGAAGGGAGGATTTCCATACTTAAATAGTAGTAAATGTTCCTTAAACTTTGTTTTTGAATTGGATTTGTTGCTAAATGTTTATTTAAAACTTAAGTTTTTTTAAAAGCTGTTTTTTGCTTTATCATTTTTAAATGACAGCCTTAATGTGATAACGTAAAAATAGCGTAAGTGATTCGTTTTTTAGTGATTTCAAGTATGAATGAAGTTTCTGGCGATTTTTTGCATGTATATGAATTATTATTACTGTTTATTAAAAATCATTGGCTGTAGATAAGTAATGGCTACTTGACCATTTCAAAATACTTAAATTGGTTCGATTTGATAGGACTTTTTCAAAATTGGTAAATTTTTTGTTTAGAAATAGAATAGATCAGACTGATTATTTCGTAGAAATGAAGTTTTTTTGAAATTGAGTTTTAAAATGTCGGCAGAAAATTTAATTAAAATTTTTTTGTTTTGCATTTCTAAAATTTTAAAATGAATTTTTCCTCCATTAAGTTTTTCTTTAGCAAACCTTTGACCTTGATATTAGTATTTGTAGTATAACATCGGACTATCTTATGAAATGCATTGATTTTTAAGATAAAAATAAATCCTTTTGCTTGCACTTATTAGCATTTTTAATCCTTCAAAAAGCAACAGGAAATAAGACAGAAGTCAAGCACATTCTCTTATTAAATGCTGACATGAATAAATCAATAAATTTTATAAATCAATAAAGTTACTTTAACATTTTCGTTTCAAGTACTTTTATGACTTTACTAGGTTTAGGTCCAGCATACGTTGATTTAATCTTTCGTTTATTAATATGCAGAAGGGAGCCTTATTGGCGCCATCATGTGGTTCTTATATAATTTTGTAAAGTTGCTTTCCATCAAATGCAAACGCATTTGATGGAAAGCAATAAAATCGTATGCGAAATATTTGTCGATCAATTAATTACATATAGTCATTAAAAATTATTTCAGCAACAATCACAACAACAACCATTTCCCTACTTTTCTCTTCCCACTAACATTTAAATTTAGAATGATTACACAAGAAATCAAAATTAATGAAGATTAGAGAAGAGAAATTACCAAAGCTAAGATTAACACCGTAACTGAAAAAACCAGTAATATGTCACAATTATGATTAAATTTAAAAACTTACTCGACTCATATTATTGGATGAGTTTTTAATCAATTTTTTTCTTGGTATTATTGCAAGCCAAGGGGAAAAAAATTAATGTATGAATTTTATTAATGTGTTGGAATGACGGTGAGCATGTACAAACCAGAACTATCAATAAAAACAATAAGCAAAGGAAAAAAAATTCTAGTATATTTCAGAAAAATTTTGATATTCCGGTGAAAAAGAGCAGTACAGTAACGGACAGAGGTGAGGAGAACTGATATGTATACATATTATAAAATTTTGACACACAAATTTGTTCACTTAGAAAAGGAAAATGATACTGTACAGGCGAAGTGTATCAAAAAAAAGGAAAACGGAAATTTAATAATTACAAATGGAATTTAAGCTAAAGCATAAATCAAAAAAAAAAAAAACACGGAAAGAAAAAATAAAGAACAATTCATAAAAATAGTCACCGTAGCTTACTTGAATGCAGTCAAGCACAATCAAGCAAAAGTGATCATAACAAATCAATTTTTTCTTATTTTTTGTCCGATTTACCTTCATTTCTTCAACTGAAACTCACGCATACGACTTTTTAGAGTTAAAGACGAAACCCGAAGTACAAAAAATGGACATCGAAATATTCATGGTGCTATGCAGCTGACGTATTAAATCATAATAATAATGGTAAAAGTGATAATAACAATAATGACGAAAATAAATAACAAACAGTAATAATTATAATTAGTAATAATAAATATCATAATAAATAATAACAGCTATGCTAATAATAATAATATCTTGTGGCACACTAATAAAATATATAAGGCACGCACATATAATACATTTTTTTAAAAGGTACACCGGTTCCTACCATATGATCATACATATTTCAGTCGAAGAAATAAAAAAAGCATAAGCAGCAGTAGATTAGTAAGGATATTTTAGCGTCTTGGCAAGAAAATCTGATATATGTATTATAAAATCTGATAACTACCAGTCAAATTTAACTTCAAATATTTAAGCACAATTTACAGCGCTTATGTAAAACGATCTAGGAGCTAATAATGACATGGTGAGGATTTCTAGATACGTTTGCGGATTTGAAAGCATCTCGGATATGGTCAAATTGAATTCGTCAGTTCAGTTAAATATAAATCAAAATATACAAAGCAAACATCTAGAGCCCGCAACTGAAGCATTAGTTACGACTTAAAGAGATATTTCACCAGTGATACCAATTATCTGCAATTGGTTGCAATTGCATCTCTAGCAATTGGAATTCAGGATTAATCAACTGAACAATCCAAGGACACATGGAAGGTTAAAAGATAAGGTCAAGGCCAAAACATTTATTTCAGTAGCAGAACTTCGGACATGACCGACAAATTAAATGATTTCATCCATACCTGCCAAATTTTTATAAATTTGGAAAAAATTGACAAACTGGTCACGAACCACCACCAATCCTAAACCACTCGCGAGCTATAGCACATTAGCAACAGGAGGTAGGTAATAATATGAGATCTTAGAAATTCCACAACATTAAAATTTCTCATCAATTTACATTGTTGTCAAGCTGAATGTAAATTTAATTCAACGTAACAGATTTTAAATTAGTAACTAAAAGTTCTGGACGACATGTAGTGAAAAGAAAAGTAAAGATAACTTAGGATATCAGATATCCAAATCAAAACTGTTGGAAAACAGTTTACTGAGTTCGCTTGAATACAACTTGAATTCAAGAAAGAAGAATAATTTGATAACACTCAGTCAATATACGTACAACTAGAAGGAACGCTATTTCCTATTTTCTTTCATCTACTCTCATATATATGATTCTGGAATCACAGCGCTAAAGTCTCTAAATGTTTACAGTAATACACCGAAGAATGGAAACGACAGAATAATCCTTTAAAACAGAAGAAAGCTTAAACATATGTTCATTATGAAAGCCGTATATTAAAACGATTCATAAAAATAAGTTACCCTAAGAATTTGTAGCTAACGAATGAAGATTTGAAGAAATTGAGCATAAGGTGTCCTGCGAACTAAATTGAGAAGCCGATAAGGATATCTGCTGCGTATGTTCATTTAGCGCCCTTTCTTCATCATCAAAAAATGTTGATTTTTCAATGCGATGCTTCTCCTCTATCGTTTTTAGAATTTTCTGGCGCTCAGTTTCCAAAGATGCCCTCTCTTCTTCCATCTAAATGGATGGATAATGAAAAAAGCTTGAAAGTACGACAGAAATCCTATTCACTTTCCCTAATCTATGTCTTATTTCTCTTCGTGTCTTTATATCACATACACAAGCTACCTAAATGATTGACTTCAATGATAACTTCAATGATCAATGATAGCTTTCGAAAGCACCAATCATCATAAAGACTTTCAGCAGTATAATTCAAAAGTCAAAAATAGTGTAGATCCTTCTTTGCTTCAGCTTGTAATATGGTCATCATGAATGCAAATAGTAAAATGTAAAATGTTCTAAGCGGTCAAATTTTTTCTACAAAAACGTATTTAAATGATATTTACATCATTAAACAATAAGTAAGGCATACTTTTTTCTCGATGACCGCTTTTCTTATTGAAGTGCGTTCCGCCAATTTCTGTTCTTCTCTTTTACAATTCTCTTCAAGACAACTTTTCTGTCGACTTTGGAAGTCTTTGAGCATATCCATTTCCTTTTCAAGTTTCTCTTTCAAAGCTTTCAATTCATCTTCCTAAACAAAGCAATGTATATTTCAACGGAACCGTAACAAAATCGCAGAAGGAAAGGAAACAACCTGGATGCTAATCAATGCGCAAGGAAATTTTTATGAAGCGCTAGGTAACAAGTAAAGTATTTAAACAGAAAAAGATAATAACTTATTTCTTGAATTCAAATAAAAAAAGTTTTACATGAAGCTTGATCGTAACGACTACTAGGTTTAAAAAAATATATAAAATTAAGCAAGAACAAGAGATAACTATCAAATCAAGTACGGAATCAATAATATACATAAAAACATCGAATATTACCTGCCAAGACTCCAATTTTACGGTCAAATCCCGTAGCAAACTTTCGATGGTGCTTTCATACTGCCCAGCTAATGTTGCTAATTTTCTCTTTTGCTCTTCCTTCAACTTTACTATCATTTCCCTATGTTCTTCCTTTGGTGTGCAGCTCAAAACCTGGAAATGCCTTCGAAATCAAAATTAGAAGCCAAAACAGGAAAATAAGAAAAAATGAAATTTTCAATTCAACATCGAAAGATCACAAAAAAAAAAAAAAAGTCCGGAAAGCGTACTTGAGCTTGTAATAACTTGCTTTGCCTCAACTGCGTTTTCACTGCCTGTCGATATTGCTTTCTTATTTGTAACTCTTTTGCCTACAAGAGATAGATCAAAAGAAAAAAGCAAGAGGCAAATTAGAAAAGTAATAAAACTGTTTCGAAAGAAGAGAACCTTTTTATTTCATTAGAAAAATTTCTATTTCAAATTTTATTTCATTAAAAGTGTTGCACTAAGAGATGTGAAACGCACCATCCACTTCACTTCCTATCCAAAAAATAAAAATAAAATGAAAGACTATATCGTTTCAACAGTCAACAAGAAAAAAGCAAGAAATTATGACGAGTTTCACTGGATTAATCAGGCTACAACAAAACCTTCAATTCTTTAGGCTGTTGTTTTGATTGCAAAGCATGTCGTTTCATAGTTTCATCTGTAACTCTCTGATTATACTGCAACTGATTTGAAGTTTCAGCTTCATGCTGCTTCTCCAGATGTCGCCGCTTCATGCGCTGGCTTTCGATTAAAAGTGATAATTCAAGTTGTTTTGTTTGTTCATGATGTTTTCTTAATAAAGCATGGCTTGTTTCCAGTTGTTTTCCTTTGAATTTTAACTCCTGAAATATATATATATATATATATTTTTCATATCATCCTATTTGAAAAATTGGTGTTAATGTATACTTCTGCTGAAGCAAATATTCATGAGGAATTAGGAAGCTTTGCTTATTATCAAATGATAGTCCGTCTGCACTAAAGAAAGAATCTTAGCGCTTTCAAGTATCATTCCATATCATCTTGTTCTGAAGCTATCCTAACAGAAACACTCACTCATAACGCCTTGAATTTATATCAAATCACAAAAAACATACATCTACGGCCAGTTTTTCGATCAAAGTATGCATCTCAACCATACGAATTCCCTTCAGTCTTCGAATTTCATTTTCCATCGTTATTTTCTGTTCACGAGAAAATATCGCTTCCGCATCAGTACGCCGTGCATTCAAAACAGCTTTCGTCTCCTTCAATGCACTTTCATATGCAGAACGCATGCCATAGCGTTCTTTTAATTCCTCAAAAAATCAAGAATTATGATTTAATTTCAGCAAAGCTAGACGCTAATCTAAATTTGTAGCAAATATGCACTGCGAATACTATTTCTCAGTAACAGATATGAGAAAATTTACCATTTTTGCCCTTTCCTTATTGTGCTTATATTCTTTCTTCTGAGCGTTAGAGAATGCTTTTAGCTCGTTTTCGTGTTGTGAATTTAACTGACGCCGTAACCTACGTTCCGTTTCATCATATTCACGAAGCTGAAAAGGAAAAAGTTTGACAAGCAGCACTAAATTTAAGTTGGAGAACGGAACAGTAAAATTAATTGAACTTTATTCATAAAGTAAATGATATATCACTTGCAAATTTCGTGCACTTTGAAATTCTGGCATTTATATCAAGGGATCAGTATTAATAAGATTAAGATTTATTTCACATTTAAAGAGAAAAATACGGGAACTCTGACACTACATTTCGCGGGTTGTATTTAATAGAACTTAAATAAAAAATCTACTTTTTTATCTTTTTCAGCATTCTGATTGCTACGTAAGCGCTGAAGTTCTTTGCTAAAAGTATTTAAAAGATTTTCATATTCTTTATCAGCTTTTTGTTTAAACGACTCCATTTCCATTGCACATTTCTCTTCGAGCTAAAAAGAGAAGACTTTTAAATGCAAAAAATAGTAAACTAGATTTCTCTGTTCGATTTACCAAAATGTTATCAATACCATACATTTGTAAAGAACTTCTAGAAAAAAAATACATCATGACTCTTTTCGTGTTTCTGTACCACTGCTCCGTTAAATCAAAACTGACCTGCTTCAATTCCTTCTGATGTTGTTGACGCAAACGTTTGTAACCACTCATTTGTTCGTATATATTATTCTCCCTGTTATATTCTTCTAGCTCCTTTGAAATCAATTTCGTTGTTCGCAATGTTGAAAACTTCGATCGTCGAAGAGTTGCCATTTCCTCCTAAAAAATTGCACACATACATTCATAAAAAAATCTAGTTTGGATAAAAATGCATTTCATGATTAAAGTTGCAAATAAACGAAAGTAATGAGAGCATACATTTATCGGCCTAGTTTCATCTGACGCTAAGGTAGATGTTGGCATTCCTGAGGAAGTTTCTTCAACAAGAGATGATTCATGCATTGAATGCATACAGTGGCTTCCTCCATCACCAACATGAATTATCGTCCGATTCTGAAACCTCGGAACTACTAACATAAAAAAATAAGATAAAAAAGTAAAAGCTTAGAAGAAAATCACAAGTTTTTTTCGGCAACTATAAAGTAAATTGAAAACCGGAAGCAATAGCGTATAGTTCTAGTCATAATTCCGGTATCTGAAATGTATCTCGCTTGCTTCCTTATAATTTAAAAAATCAAAGACAAAATCATATCGTTTTCCAACATATGAAAAAAATGATTTTATATACCTTGTCAGTGTTATCGAAATCTTCATTGATACTGCTGATATCAGAGCTAACTGAAGAAAGAACACGAAGAGGAATAAGAGGTCGTGAAGTAATGGCCTTGCCACTATCTCCATGATGACTGTCGGAAATAGGAGCATTTGAATGATACGACTGGAATGAAGAAATAGAATTCGACCGAGAGCTTGCTGAGCCTCCCATTCCTGATAATTCTTCGTCCTGCAAAACCATTACAATATCAGTTCGAGAACTGTCTAAAAAATGCAACGTTATTTCATATTCAATAAGTTTTTTATTCGAAAAAAAATTTGGTAAATCTAGTAATCACTTAAACACCTTATCACAATCTTGTGATCCATTCTAGCATACCATATCAGTTTCTTTCGTCTCATATAAACCATTGCGATTCCCTATCTTTTATAACTTCTCTCTTTTACTACAGCGTAATTTTCATCTTAATGCATTACGAGATGACTTATCTTAAAAGCATCTAGATAATAGCAGGCACAGTCTTGCGACCGGAAAGAAAATCGAGCATCACAACTTTAACAATATTGACAAGATAACAAAAAAAAAAATATCGAGAAGCATAAGACGAAAAGTGAAAATTAAAATAAATCTGATAACTGGTAGAAAAAAAAAGCAGAGATACCACATCATGCCGGTCCGTTGTCATCACATCGTCGGTCACAATACTTTGTTGCTCGTCAAGATAAACTAATTTTCTCATTTTCCTATACTGGAAGTTGTCCAGGTCACTGACTAGTGCCTTTGTCCTTGTAATCAATTCCAAAATTACACCATCCAAACGTCCATTCACAATAAATGGATGCTGCAAGAAGTTCAGGTAATTCTGTTAGTCCTTTCAAGGAAATGCAAGGAGTAAAACTCACATATTCCCTTCCTTTCTTTAGCACTAATTTATGCTCATATTCACTGCATATGAAGGGACAACATAACGGAAATAAACAACTTACCTGTTGACAAGGACTCGTCTTCATTCGCTCTCGTGGATCTTTACGTAAGCAAAGATCAACGAATGAGTGGAAGTCCGCAGACCACGATGAAGAATTCTCGCTATGTGAAAGCTTTGGGGGATCATTCTGAGCAATATGATACAGTGCGGACATAGCATTCATGTTGAAAAGAGGTGGACGTCTTTCTGCTGGAATTATAACATACCTAATTAACCGTTAATTATAACATAACATTTACAAAAAATTAATAAACATTCACTTATTTTATACCAACAAATATGAAGCTAAATGTATTTTTTCCAAAAACTAAATTATATAGAAACGAAGAAATAACCTAATTCGATACAAGTGATTCCAAGAGACCAAATATCTGCGCTCTGGTCATAATGACCTTCATCCATCGCCAGAATAACTTCAGGAGCCATCCAGTACGGCGTACCGACAAAACTCTGAGCAGGACATAAAGTGGAAGCACTCCCGAAGTCAGCTATAATCCATTAATTCAAATATCAAAGTCATTTTTATCTCCATCGAATGCAAACACCATTGAAAGCATATTTAAATAAAAGCTGATAAAAAAAAAAAAATTAAAAGAAAGTATTTTATAACAAACATCACTTTCAAATTTACCGTAAATAATAAGTTTGTAAGTACAAGTTTAACTCACCAAGTTTAACGACACCATTATCAGTTAAAAGAATATTCCCGGCTTTGACATCTCGATGTATACGTCCTAATTTATGCAGATAAGAGAGCCCAAAAAGGGTCTGTTCAATAACAGCAGCAATTTCACATTCCCGTATTGGACTACGATGTACTTCAACTATATCTGCTGCGGAACCAATGCAATATTCCATCACAAGCTGAAATAATTCTCATCATTTGTTAATTAACAGAAATGCAAAAATTGTCATTAAATTCTTATTAATTTTGCTTAAAATAAATATAAAAATACAATAAGATGACAATAATAATTTTAAGAATTGTAAATTAAAAATAAATTTTGCAACCGCTTTACTATTTTGCAATTTTGCCTACGCTTCAACTTATGTACGGGTCAATTTAAAAATATACAAACTCTCGAAATTCATAAAAGTTACCCAACAAGTATGTTCCTTCAGGTAGCATGCTCTATATTCAACGATATTTTCATGTTTTATATTTTTCAGGAAGGACACTTCCTTGATGATATCAGACCATTTTTCAGCCGATTGTTTGCCAGAAAAAGCCATTTTCTTAATTGCAACCGTTGTATTCGTTTCCAAATCCTGGGCCTAAAACTTCAACTATTAGTCAAAACCCTTCACAGAAAACCTACCTTAAAATTTCTGTAATTTGACATGGATTCAGCATAAGAATCATTAATCATAAAATGTCACCCAACAAGATCAAATGATAGAAAAATCACTTTCTCTAATTTTTTGAGCCTCCATAAAAAAAAAAAAAAAAAAAAAGAAAAAACTCAACTGAGAGCAAGAAACTTTTATTAAAAAATTCCACCAAATATCAGATTTTATACAGAATTTCCATAAAAAATAAATGCACTCTAAAATAAAAAGTTAAGTGGAGAAGTCCCTCTCCCTTTATGAAAATTTTCACTATGAAGAATTTCTTTCAAAAAGAAAAGGAGAGGGAAAGACTTTTGGAAAAAAATCCCCTCAAGCAAATACTTTCAGCAAAACAATTAACGAAGGAAAAACTTACCAGACCGCTTGATATATAAAGGGAGTTGAGATATCATAAAGTACAATATTACCTCATGTCTATTTCCAAAAATTACCAAACAAACAAAAAAGGAAAAAGAACATACGAAGAAAACAGCCCCGAATGAGCCATGACCAATTTCACGAAGATCCTCGAAACGTTGTTCGGGATCTTTTACACAGAATAATGAAGCAACAGCGGGATCCTTCAAGCTACCCGGTTTACCTATTGACGCAGCCGGCATTACCAATATTTAGTACCCGAAACCCATAGGAAGTTCCGCAGAACTTGTCCGACACAATACAAACTAGAAGTTATGAAGTGCCTAAGATAATTGCTATTCCTGAAATTTCAAAAAATCATCAAAATTCACAGTTTCATTAAAATACCATAGATGCATCACTTTACTTCCAATATCCAACCATCATATATGTGCAAACGTCCAAACACATGCAAATGTCTATACGTATACACACACGCACGTAGACGCAAACACACGGAGTCACCTCGTCCCTGTTACCAGTCCATGACAATCGTATGCCGGATCATCGTATCCGAACTTTGCTCATTTTATTATTCGATAAGCGATACAATTTATACTCGTGGTTAGATGCGTTGGATGGGTTCCGGGGAATCTGAGATATCTGGTGGGTCCGGGATGTGAGACTGCCTTTTTCCTTAGGTTTTTTGATTATGAAACGGTTATAGTATGTACCATTTTTGTTTTAAAGATGCATGACCCGTTAATGCTTCTTTTGCTTTTATGTTCTGCAACATCTTTAATTCATATTCGGTCCATTGAGTTAATTCATCAGTTTCAGCTAATTATATTAACGGGGAAAATATGGCACCACCGATGGCTGGATTGATATCTACAGGTGTAGCGAGTAAAAGTGGCGAAGAACAGAGCTTGAAACGCTATTACAAAACAAAAATCGAAGATATGCAGGTGAGGATTACATGTTTTTAGTTAAAGCTTTCAGAGGTTTACTGAGCGAAGATTAAAATAAGTACAATAAGCATAAAGTACTGTAGTGATTATTAGTGAATTATATGAATATAAGTTGTGAAATTTGATTTTAGCAACGAGTTGCGGAGAAAACCCAAAATTTGCGACGACTTCATGCACAGCGAAATGAACTGAATACAAAGGTACGTGTAGTTGCGTAGAGTTGTTATTATTCTATAAATTGACTTTATCTTAAACTGGTGTCCTTTCAGGTTCGCATGTTAAAGGAGGAACTGCAACAATTGCATGAGCAAGGATCCTATGTTGGTGAAGTCTCGAAAGCAATGGATAAAAAGAAAGTGCTTGTTAAGGTTTGTTTAGTTTGATATCTTTTGATTTACAGTTTTTTAAAAATATGTTTTTGTCTTTTTTTTAAAATTTCATATTGGCAGATATATTCATTAGCATTTTATTTTCTTAAATATGCTGTTTTAGGTTCATCCTGAGGGAAAATATGTTGTTGATTTGGATAAAGGTATTGATATAAACAGTATCACATCAGGTTGTCGTGTTGCTCTTAGAGCTGATAGCTATGCACTACATAAAGTACTTCCAAATAAGGTTACTTCACAGAATTTATAAATGATATTGTTCGATCGCAGAAATGGGCATCATTCTTGCATTTGCATGTTTATTCATGTAAACGCATGCTTTCTTCTAGCCCAAGAGTATGTAATGGTTGCAGATTTTCGGTGTTTCGAAAGAAAATGGGTAACTCTCGGGATGTTACTGCTTAATCTACATATTATCTTTACCGTTTATAGTTTTAACTTTGTGTGACCTGGGTATAGATTATTTTGAAGGGAGTGCTGTTTTGGAAAGGTGTTCATTTTTTACTGTATCGTTTTAACGTAATTTTATTAATCTTATTTTTTGTGCAGGTTTTAACAACATATATATATATATATATATATATATATAGAGAGAGAGAGAGAGAGAGAGAGAGAGAGTAAATTAGTGCTAGCTTGATTCCATCTTATTCCGATATTTTTTCGACAGATTGACCCATTGGTTTCTCTCATGATGGTAGAAAAAGTTCCCGACTCAACGTACGAAATGATTGGTGGTTTAGATAAGCAAATAAAGGAGATAAAGGAAGTGATCGAATTACCTGTAAAACACCCGGAACTTTTTGATGCATTGGGAATTGCCCAGCCGAAGGTTTGTTCACTGTAAACTATAAAAACTATAAAATAGAAGACGATGACATTTTTGTTTCTTTTTTTTTTATTTTTTTTATTGTTTCGCAAATTTATATTCTTTGTGTACGTTCATAAGTTAGTCAACTGCATGTATAGATTCCACTATTAATCATTTTGATACATAAAACATTTAAAAATCAATGTAGTAGAACTGATGTTTTCAGGGAGTCCTGTTATATGGTCCTCCTGGAACAGGTAAAACATTACTTGCCCGCGCTGTGGCTCATCATACGGAATGTACATTTATTCGAGTATCAGGCTCTGAATTGGTGCAAAAGTTTATTGGAGAAGGTGCTCGTATGGTTCGTGAATTGTTCGTAATGGCCCGTGAGCATGCACCGTCGATAATTTTTATGGACGAAATAGACTCTATTGGTTCATCTCGTGTTGAAGGTAGCAGTGGTGGTAAGTCTTTGTTTTGAGAGGTTGATTAATAGATATTTCATATTATTATGTTTGCATTTGAATTTTTTTTTCAACAGGTGACTCAGAAGTGCAACGTACAATGTTAGAGCTGTTGAATCAACTTGATGGTTTTGAGGCTACCAAGAATATCAAAGTGATTATGGCAACAAATCGTATTGATATTCTTGATCCTGCACTTCTGAGACCAGGTTCTTTCATTCACTATTTTCTTTTTCTTTATTTATATGAAATATGCATTATTTGCAATCTGTTACATGCAACTGTGTACGTTCTTACTAATTTTCAGTTTTTATTTAGGAAGAATCGACAGAAAAATAGAATTCCCTGCACCTGATGAGAAAGCGCGTGCAGATATACTAAAAATTCACTCACGGAAAATGAATCTTATGCGAGGCATAAACATGAGGAAAATAGCAGAAGCTATACCTGGTGCAAGCGGTGCTGAAGTTAGTTATTTCCTCAGGTCGAATTAAAATCAAGTAAACTTATTTTTGATTGAATCATTCCTGGAATTATACTAGTTTCTCAAAAATTATTATACTTTTAAGGTCAAAGCAGTTTGCACCGAAGCTGGCATGTTTGCTTTGCGGGAACGTCGCATTCATGTGACGCAAGAAGATTTTGAAATGGCTGTTGGCAAGGTAAAACTTATACTTAATCGATTGGCATGCTTTTGTTTTGTTTTGTTTTGTTTTTTGTTTTTTGAATTAAATTTAACTTCACACCTTTCATAAGATATTCTTTAGGTAATGCAGAAAGATTCGGATAAGAATATGTCATTGAAGAAGCTTTGGAAGTGATCTCATTTTGACTTTTCTCGTTTTTTTCTGGTGACCTGTCAAGACACTTTTCTATCATAGTTGAAAAGCATTTCTGCTGCTGAAAATCTGTGATTGAACTTTTTCCATTGTACTCTTTCCAAATATCTTTAAAGTGATGAATTGTAGAGGCTAATAAATGTGCACTTTTTAAACACTTATTTTGTATGAAATTTCTTGAATAAAGGTTTTATTGACTTTGACAAAATTTCTCCTAGAGAAGAATTTTGTTAAGGACAAAACAGTTGATATCAAGTATTTTATTTTTGAAGTTTTACCACTCTATTATGATTATTGTCAGTTATCTACTTTCTTACAAGCTTTTGTTTCTAGCAAAATTGTTGTGGAGACAAGTGTTCAGAATAGCAGCGAAAGTAGGTAATGGTTTAAGAGAATGTCAGCAATAGTTTAAGCCGTACTGTAGGATTTTATTTTTTGTGTTCCCGAGTATTTATGTGGTTCAACTCATCGGACTAGGGTGACGAACTCATTTTAGGGTTATTATTTGTTTAATGGTGGGGCACTAATTGGCATGCATTATTCGCATGAACTCGTCAAGTCTTACTTGCGCACTCTGTACTCGCCCAATTATATCAGCTAGCAACGTTCGGTCGTGCAGTTCATGCCGAAAGTGAGTATCTTCATTTCCTCTTTAGTTGTAACATCAAAATCTGACGGAAAGAGTTAAGGTATGATCGTGTTGCACTTTTGCCGTTCAGAAAATATTTTCAGATGATTCAATGATTTGTTACTATCTAATTGCTATTGAAGCAGCTCTATATAAAATATGAATATCAGGAGATGGATTATTCTTACAGGTTTACGCATTCGGATTGTGACTCCGACTCATTAAATGCAAATACGATAGAAACCGAATATGTTTGTCCAACATGCCGTAATTCGCCGTTGGTCGCAGATGCAATGATGATATCAGCTGGGAATAGTTCTGTTGCGGCATCACCAACTTCCATTTCCACTCACGATGAAGCATCGCGTAGCATTCCGCTTGACAATCCATATTGCATGGATTCACCTAACAGAAGCAGCCCTTTGATGTCATTATCTCAATTGGATACTTTTGGCGACTTTTTCAACATTCATCAATCTACAGGTAGTAGTTTACAGTTGGAATTGATTTCTGCAGTGCATAATGCAAAATTGCTACCAGACTAACTGTTTTATGCTATTATCGAAGTAGTATTAAAGTCGTGTCACAAAATCTTTGAAGATTTTCCCTTTAATAGCAGTATTTCTAAGTTAAATATATAATAGTAAGACGAAATGTAATGAGTTAGTTTTGTTAATGGAATATTTCCATACCAAAATTGAATGCTAATATTAACTGAAGTTATAGGGCAAGTTCCATCAATGTCGCCATCTGGATCTACCGCACTAAGTGGACCTGTATCTTCCTGTAGAGCTTCTCCCGGTTCATTTCCCGAGTTTAATAATACTGGCGATACAGCTGATGAACTGCGCTTCAGTTCCAAGTTAGAGTTTTAAATCGTTTCAACTAGTTAATTTTAAATTAAGATTTAAGGCGAGTATAGAATGTAATATTTAGGAAAAAAAATGGAAAGGGTAATGAAAAAAATGATCTTTCAGAAGAGAGCGGAGTGATAATTCTAGCACCGTCAGCCGAACATCGCGTGGTGGAGGAGTAAAAAAGCCTTGCGGTCGTGGAGTAACTCCGCGAACGCGTTCACTTGCTGGAGTAAATAATGATTTAACCGAAGTAACTCATTCGCATCGGGGAAAACGAGGTGGAAGAGGTAGCAATAAGAATGGTAGAGGACGTAGACCAAGGTTACACTTTAAACAAATTTATATCGATGGTTATTTCTGTCAGAGATATTAGGAAAACGCCAACATTTGATATTTTAGTCTGTAGTTCTCAAACAAACGCAATATTAACTTTGGATGCGGTAATTTCTTATTATGTATTAAATCTGATTTTCGAAAATGGTATATGTTTTGTATAGAGGAGGCAAGACGTCAGCAATGTTAGCAATGGTTAATGCGGCAGCGGCAAATCGAGATGCAGATCAGGACAGTTCGGAAATGGACGACACTCGGCATCGTATGGAAGAAAATGATTATATCAGGACAGTGGTTGTAACGTGTGCTGAGAACTCTTACTTTTTACAAATGCCATTATGTTTAATTTGTGGTAGCATTGGAAAAGGTGCTGAAGGAACGATGGTGACTTGTGTGACTTGCTCACAAAGTTACCACACATACTGTGTCGGACTGCATGATAAGGTGTGTTTTTGAGTAGCGAAATGCAATAGATGAAGCGGAATATGAGATGGTGACCTGCTTCGAAGGAGTTTTTATTTGATTCACGCATTAGTTTTCGTGATGCCATTCTTGCTACCATGAAAACTACTGCTTAGCCAGGATATCTTTCATTTTTTTTTTGAGAAATCGAGTTGTTTTCTAGCATGAAATATTAACTTCTTTAGCTCAATTCCACAATAGTACGGAGAGGATGGCGTTGTTTGGACTGCACGGTTTGCGAAGGGTGCGGCGATGGACATGACGAATCCAACTTGATTCTCTGTGATGAATGTGACATTTCATACCATATTTATTGTTTGGAACCACCTCTTGAACGAATTCCACATGGGCCGTGGAGATGTAAATGGTATATTTGACAAATTATCTTTCTAAAAAATTTTCATATAGATGTTGATAAAGCAGTCTTCTACTAATGAGACGTTTTTAGGTGCTCAGCTTGCCGGCGTTGTGGTAACCAAATATCCAACATTACGGATAATCAAAATTTTTGTGAAACCTGCTTCACACTTCGGAAATGTCCTAAATGTTTGCGACTTTATGAAATTGGTGATAATATCATTAAATGTCAGCATTGTGCAAGGTATTCTAACAGTGTTTTACATTTGGTTGTCCATAAGTTTAAAATTCCATTCAGTTTTTTCTAAATAAAAAATTTTCTTGTTTATGGACTAAGATAAACCTATTTAGATGGCTCCATGGTAAATGCGAAGAGTTGTACGGTGAAGAGATGTTTGAAACTGCATCAGAAAATGGTTTCCGCTGCTCGCTTTGTCGTCCGCAAGGTAACGTAGTTGGCGATGCTTTCAACATTTTGGTGTGCGATAATGTAACGATGAACAAGTGTGCACTCGAAATATTGCATTTACGCTGTGGTGGAGCACTTTTTCGCTATCCCAGCTCTGCTGATTCTGTCTACGATTTTCCATCATACTTCTTTGCACCGCGATCTCACTCATTTGAAGGTTGAGGCCTTTTAAATTCAAAAATTTTTTTGCATGTTATTAAAAGTTTCTAGTTTAAGCTTTTCAATATTTCAGATAATTGCAGTTGTCAAGTATGGGTATCTGTTGAAGTAGTCTGTTAATAAAATAGGGATGTTCTAATTATTAATAGTCTAATTGACTTTGGTAGATAATAGCTAATGCTGTTAAAGAGTTTGCTAGACCTTTCCCTGAATTTTTGTAAATGAATGCATGTAAAGGCATCTCAGTGGTTTTAATTAAACTTGTGAGCTGTTTCAGTACCCTTCTTTATGACCAAGTTTTATTTATAAAGTTTTCAGAACCAATAGAAGAAGACGATCTAGAGAGTTCTGGTTTCGGAATGAGTGTAGGAGTGAGTGGTCGAGGTCGAGGAATGAGAAGTGGTGGTCCTGGTCGACGAGTGATGAAATTGGGTGTTGGTGGATTCTTTGTAAAGGTATTTCTTACCGGCTTTCACCCTTTTTTTTTTTCAGTTTACTTTTCAACTTATGTTAATATTGTTTGAGCAGGTACCTCGACATCGTTTATCAAATGCGGAAGACGAGAATGGCGTGGAAGAGGATTCTGCAAAACCAAAAATAAAACGCTTCCGAAAACCAAGAAGGTCACAGCTGGAGGACAATTATCCACCAGTTATTCAAGTGAGTCGGACAAATAATTCGTTCGTTTTGATCTAGTTAACTTTATATTACATACTAGAATCGTTAACCTTGATAGAATCACTGTGTTATATTCAGTCATGCATTGATGTATTGCAGAAATGCGTAACAGTGAATAAAAATTCACCACGTGCTTAGGAAAACAACGTGAAATATGAATTTTGTTTTCAGGAAAGCTTTTTTGGTATGAGGCCAGTTGAGGGAAGGTGTTTGTTAGATGTTGTAGTGGATGAACCGAATTTGGTGGAACATCAAAAACCAACTTTAGTCATCGATAGACAAAAAGAAGCCTGTGAACTGAACGAAATGGATTCTGAGGTCGATATGTCAAGATATATCGCAAATATTTTTTTAACTGATTTTTCTCAGTCTTTCCAGCACATCGTAGCAATGTTTTGAACTTGATCGTTGATGTTGAAGGAAAAATTTTTCCATTCTTCAAATGTTTGATTTTAAACGTAAATCGCATTCGAATTTTAGGCTTTGCATGAAAGTGAAAGCCTTCTGGGAAATATAACGGAGAATGATATTCTTGGCAATATGGAAGAAATTGATTTTGATAATTTGGATTTAAATGAACTACTGTTGGATGGTGATGAAGATGACGACGATGATGAAGCATTGGAAAATGCACTGAGTGGTATTTTTTAAAACTAGTATATATAGTCCTTATTAACCAAATGTAGCTTTTGACTTTTTTCTTTAATATGCAATATTCGCTAAATAGGTGCTTTCTTAAGCCATGACGAAGTGCAATTTGAAACATTTCGTATAGATAAAAAAATCAGGAATAATCTAGGAAGCTAAAAATGCATTATTTCAGCAAAAACTTTCATGCATTTAAGTTTCATTAATTTTATAATGTGTATTTCAGATAAAATGGGACCACCCAGTGAAGATGGTCAAATAACCGCTCATGGTGGTCCTATGCGATCTCAGACTTTTTGTTCAGGGCAGCAGGTATTATTTATGTACTTTCTTTAAGAAAAGTTAAGTTAATTATCAAACTGCTTTTAGATTACTTGGAGCTGCATTACGGACCACTGCATTATTTCTCTTGTTTAGACTCGAAGATTTACTATTGCTTCAACAAGTAATCTAACTCAGGGAAGTATTCGTTCAAATGTGCATATGCCTCCTGGTTACAATCAAACCGGTATTTACACTCAGTCCAGATCTAGTAGTCAGGTGTTTCTTTAAAATCTCCCTTTTCTGATAGTTTTGAAAGCTGAAATTATTATTTATAACTCATAAGGTTTAATAATATTTTAAGCTGGGTGACACTTGTACCGAACGAGTGAATCAAGCAACAGAAAAGTGGGAAGAAGATGAACCATTGGGAGAGCGTGCTACGAAAGCTGCCGTTCTTTATGCGAATATTAATTACCCGCAGTGGAAGGAGCAATACCCGGAATGGCCAGAGCGTGTGAAACACATTCATCGAATGTGGAGATCTCTGGATGCTAGCAGTAGACAACAGTATGTAAATAAGGCAAGAGAAAATCGAGCAAATAGAGTAAAGGTGAGAATATTTCTTATTTATATAGATTGCTTATATAGATACAAATACATTTCAGCAGCCTAGAGCAAAGCGTATTACAACGTCGGCAACAACTCCTACTGGTGTTGTTCGAGCTATTGTTGGTCCAAATCGATATGGAATAATCCCAGGACAAGATAATATGGCAGGATATTGCCGTTCTGAGGTAAAATATTGTTTTCGAAACATTGTTCTACGTCTTTAATTATGGTTTGAAAGATTTGCAAGTTTTACAAATTGCATATTCGGGAAGAATAAACTTTGTTCATGTTTAGGTAGAATATAACGAAAGTTTCAAAGTTCCAACAATGCCTTATGGTGCTGGTGAATGTATGATGAATCAAAGTGCGTCTGTAGGTTCCGTAGATGTCTCCATAGTTCAACCCTACGGAGCAGCACAACAACATTATTATCATTCCGAACAAGTACTTTCATTTTCAATTCTTTCAATAAGAATATTTCTAAAAGGTCATTCTTTTCTATTGTTACAAAACAACTAACTCTTAAAATTAGTGAAGTCATTGTCGTAGGACTAGCAGTGAACATAGATGGATGTCGATAGCAGCCAACAATTTCGTTTATCATTACCGCCCCAACTTAGCACCTTAAAAATTGATAATCTTTCAGGAAGGTGGTTCATTTGCCAGTGCATCTCAAGTTAGATCAGCGCCTGTTAGAAATCCCCAATCTTTGATTGCGCATTTGAGCAAAGAAGTTTTGGATAATTATAGTTTGCTGCAGAAACGAAGCAATGAATTAGCGAAATATCAGTTGGTATGTGTAGCGTCACTACGATTATTTTCTTATGACTACACACCACTGCAAAAATTTCGATCTGATTGATTTTCTCAAGATATGAAAATATTTTCTATCTTGCAGAACATAATTTTAGGCGATTGAAAATGATTTAGCTCGGATGCGGAAGCAGAAGAAAAATCTTACCGCGAAAAGAAGACAGTTGAACAAAAACAATCAGCAGTACGACGCTCACGGACAACGGATCGAAATTGAGCTGAGCGAAACCGACAGGTATACTTATTACTATTGTTCCATTTTATTACCAGTTTTGGTTGAAACGGAGTGAAAATATCAGTTCATTAAATGTAGTGCTTTCATCTGTACCCAGATGTAAGATGAATGCAGTGTTTGATGCAATTGATATGAATTCATGAGAAACCTCATCGTTAGTTCATTAAAATAAATATGGTTCCATATTCCGTGATTCATTTATAGTTGCTTCCACTTTGCCATTCTCAATATTTCTTGCAGACATTCACTCACAACACTTGCCAATGCTATACCGATCCGGCAAAAAGATTTAGAAAATTGTAAGCGGGACATTAAACTTCATTCTTCCAATGTTCGTGATTTTGAAGTCAAAAACAACATACCACCAGAACTAATTCCACAAATGACACCTGTTGTGCAACCTGTTGGCCTGCATGTAAATGCTGCACGTGCAAAACAGCTGCAGAGCGGTACACCTCCTACACCTAATGATATGATGTCTTCAAACAACGGCATTCGACCTCCGCCATCATATCCAGCATTTGGTATGGTGGGTAACTATCGACCTCCCTATCAGTCTGGCGCTCAGATGTCTGAATATAATCATTCTGGCTATGGTACAACTCCAAAAAGTGAGACTGAAACTGCGCAAATATGTTCGGGTATAACTGTCTTCTTTTTTCAGAACTTTTATTTGAAAGCACTAGTTTTCAGGATTTACCACAAATTTGTCTTACTGTTCATTTATGAAAAGTTTTAAAGTTGGGTGAGCTATGAACTAGCTTATGAAATTTCGTCTTTTTGTATTTTGCACTAAAGGATTCTGAATATTCTTTTATTAATGAAAGTTGAGGTTAAAATGTGTGCACAGTTAATACTAAATATTTTTGATATTTTTAAAGACTCTCCAACACCACCTAGCGGTCGACCAGGATCATCCAGTTCAACAGAATGGCAGTGTCGGGGTGGAAGGGGAAAGCGGAAAAGACGTGACGATGATCGGAATGATGAATGCAAAAGACCAGCAATGCTTGGTGATGTTGCTGCTGAGACTCTAACTACGCAATTTGAGCGAGATATTTATGACGTTGTAGATCGCTTAATAACGCAAGCTGTTATTATGGTCGATGGTATACATCTTTTTAAAAATTTGAAACGATATATATTTATACTTTTTTTTTGGAATTAACACCAAGTATCTCGCAATATTATGTTCTGAGCCATATCTTTCAGGTGCTGAAGCTGCTCGAAAAAGTGGGATGCTGAAAAGACTTTTAGAATCACAAATGAAAAAAGAATATACCTCACAAAGAAATTCTTTTTCTGGATTGGAGTTTAACAGTAATTTTGTTTAAAAATTCCAAATGTTGGTCGAACAATTTTTTCATTATTCGACCAGTAATTTATCCTATGTGGGACATGAAGATTTTTTGCCTTAAATTCATCACCCCCTCTTTTTCAGTCCCTCCAAAGCCAAAAAAGAAGCGTACTCAGCAGAAGAAGCTTGGTGTTGGGAATAGTAATGAATATGAATTATTGCTGGAGCGGATTTCCACTCAACTTCGTCTTTGCCCACAACTTCCTCGAAGTGCAATTGAACCCATATCGCGTGTTGGTCGCTCATCTTATTTCATGTTTGGTATTACGGATTTACCAGATCGAATAGGTTTGTCTAAAATCTGCAAAAAGTTTCTGTTTTTTAAAGGATTGAAATCCATCAAGTTTATTCAGTATAATATAAAATGAGCAAATGAAGTGTATAATCTAATAATATCATTGTAGAATTTTTTTTTTCCATTGCAGTTAGTACAATCTCATAATTGAACGTTAGTCTTGGATTCTATTTAATCGATCAGTTGACCAACTTGGCAGTTTTATTGCGAATGATTTGTATATCGATTTAGTCTTACTTAGCTTACAATATAAGATTCTGTTTACTGACTTCAGAAATTTCGTTTCAAATTTTCTTATCTTTTAGATAAGCCATCAATTAAAGGGAGCGAAATTGGTGATGTACGACTTACTTTTATGGGCGATTATTATACGCGTCTCTTTCAGTGTCCTTTTGATGAAACTTCACTTTATCAAACAATGTCTGATTTCGCAGCTGATGTTAAGCTGCCGGTTTTATACAGGTTAGTTATATTTTTTTTCATGTTTTGAAGTTGATTTCATCACTTACTGATAAATCAGTATGCACTTTCAGAACAAGATACATAGCTCCAAGAGGGATACAGGAAAGAGAAAAACCTGTGAGTAAAATGCGAGCACTTTCGGTTGTTCGTCGTTCAGGTTCTCCTCCTTTACGGCAGATTTCTAGAATACCTGAATCAGTAGTACCAGAGGCTCCACCAAGACATGCATTTTTCAAGGCCTGTAAAATTTTATTCATTCATGCGATGCTTTATTAATCAAATTCCTAGAATATGAATTTCAAAATGTTTTACAGATTCTTATTTATAAATAAAATATCCGTTCAAAAAATTGTGAACATCCACTTAAAAAAATTGTGATAAATGCGAGTAGGAGATTTCGATATAGCGAAAAATAATTGGAGACAAACTTGTAACTTCTGTTGTTTGAGCTGAATTAATTTTTAATGTTAGAATTTCTGCACCACTTTATCCAGTCTTCAATTGAATGTAATTATTGAAATTGAAAAAGTAGTGGTAGTAGCAGACTATTATATGGAAATGGGATTTTTAAAATATTTATCGAAAAGGGCATTGATTTGAAACATATTTCAGAAGCGTGAGTCACCAAAAAAAGTAGGGGTCAGTATCGTATTCGAAGGTCCTGAAGGCAGTCTTGATGCTGAAGCTGGTTTGAGACAGTTAATGGTGCTCCTTGGTATGGAACAGTTACCAGATTATGAATTTGATACTCCTCCTCAAACTCCTGAACCTTCAAAACGTTAGTTGTCATATTCCCTTCCAACAATCCTACAATCTTTTTTAAAATGATACCATTCCATCTCATGTGCAAAATGATTCTCCAGTACTTGTGATATGATTAAAAAGCGACAAAAGATAGAAATTCCGAATTAGAATTGAGCTGAATATTATTTCAACACTGAAAATGAAATGATAACTTTTCTTGGAGTTTGGCTGAACACATTTGAATTGAAATGTAGAGCTCTTCCTTACCGATGGATATGGTTTCCTTCAGGTGATCTTGGTGAAATCCAAAAGACCGAATCACCAGTGGCTGATGACTTTACTTGTCGTCACTGTGGTGCCTTAACTGATCAGCCTGCTGTAAGACAGACAGCTCGCCAACTTGGAATCATCGATCATGAAGTTCGCTGCATTGTTTTCCTTATTCCATTTTTTTGTAATTTTTAAAAATTACAATTGTTGTCATTCTTTATAATATCTAAACATTACTGTTGTCACATTTCAAGAACTGTTTGATCAAAAATAGTTTATTTCAGCCAAAAGATGAGACATTAGCGTTCTGCTCAATGAATTGTTATTACAATTACATGGCTAATGCGAAGGCTGCGTTATCACCGGAAGATCTTTCGGTTTTTGTTTCCTTATTCCGAACCATTTTTCTTTTGTTTATTTTTTTGATTTGGCTAATTTTTGAATTTTAGAGAGCAGAACGTTTTATTGGTGCTGAAACACTGGCCAAACTTCGGCAGGCAAGCGCTGATAATTTTGCCAAATATCTTCATCTTGGAAAAGTAAGTTATATCTTTTATTGGTCGCTGAACTTATTCGTCAAAAATTTAGACAGCATCCTTGATTTTTTGAAACATTAGGGAAATTAACTATCCTTTACCATTATCCGAACAATTTTTATTCTTATGTCGGTATTACCTCTTAAATGCTTTTTATAATTCCCTGTTCTGCTTTTTCCTTTTTTTTTTTTTGCATCACACATTCTGCAGTTTAAGGGGCAGTTAGAATCGCCTGGGAATTCAAACATGTGTTCACCATTGAGTGACGGTCGTGTTGAGTCGGATGCAAGGAACAATATTCAGGTTCATTTTTTCTGTGCTGTGCTTCTCAATCTTGGTTCTAGTATTGAGAAGCGCATATTGAGATTATGTAAAAGATAGACTGTACTTAATGAATTCATTATAGATAATTCAAGCTCGAGAGCTGTCATTATTGGGTGATCAGAACATTCAGAAGGCTTTGGAAAAGAAATGGAAAGGGCAACTGTGGATGCAATATGATGCAACAATTCTAGAAAGTTTCCGTGAATTATCAATCCAAACTCGTCAGGTGAGTAAAACATTATATTCCAGCATTCTTAGCATACTTGTTTTCAACATCTGTTCAAGTTTTTTGAGAGTGTCGCATGAGTCTTCTTATTATCAGTTAAAATTACAATTAACCTTAGCAATTATTTAAAAAGAAAATTTGAAACATAGCTTCACTTATAGAAGAAAACAATGAAGACTACATTAGGAAATTACAAAGAAATATACGTTTTTTTTTTTTTTTTTTTTTTTTCAGAAACAGCTGATTGCCGATCTTCAGAGCGTTTTACATTCCCATTGCATAGATCCTACCGAAGACAAACGGCAGTGTGCGTTTTGTGGGCAGCATGGAGATGGAGCATTAGATGATTGTGGAAGACTTTTGAACGCAGACGCAAATACCTGGGTGCACGTTAATTGTGCCTTGTGGTCAGAAGAAGTTAGTTTCATCGAATGGTAATCCATAAAACTAAGACTTTTCTAAAGGGATTGTGAAATCTAAAGTTTTACAGGTTTATGAGACTTCTGCTGGTGCGCTTATTAATGTAGAGGATGCACTGAGACGGGCGACAAATGTGATTTGTTCAATTTGCCAGCTCATGGGTGCTTCACTAAGGTGTTACAAACTTAACTGTGAAAAGAACTTTCATATTTTTTGTGCCAAGTCAACAAGAGGAAAATTTATGAAAGATAAGGTGAAATCTTTTAAATAAAAAATGTAATTTTTTAGAATCTTCCAACTTCTAGATCTATCATATTCTCATTTAATTGAAATGTTGAATCATTTTATTTTGTTCTTATGTTTAGACTTTTATTTGCGAAGAGCATGATGATTATCGGAATGACTTGGTACTCGACCATTTAAAAGCGCTGCGTCGTATTTATATCGATCGTGAAGAAAATCAGTTGATAGCAAAATTGTTTCATAGTGAGGCTGATAGGCTAGTTCTTCGAGTAGGCAGCCTTATATTTAGTCACATTGGACAGCTGCTTCCAGAACAGTTGAAAGCGTTCCATAATTCAGATCACATATTTCCGGTTGGTTTGAATTTCTCAACTTTACTGAATCAGTGATTACGTTTTTTATTAAGGCATAAATTGAGACTTTAAAGTTTTTCAATTATTTTTAGATTGGATACAATGTGAAACGAATTTTTTGGTCGGTAACTAATGCAAATAATCGTATTCAGTACCAGTGTACAATTTGCGATAAATCGTCAGCACCGGAATTTGTTATTTCATACGAGGATGGTCAAGAAATACGGGAGAATTCGGCATCAGGTTGGTTGACTGCTTATCTGAAGGAGAATTCTCCTCTTCCTGTTGATTTTCTACATTTTTGATTTATAAATATGTGTGCGTATTTAAGCTGCCTGGAATCATATATTAGTGGAAGTGGAAAGAACACGAGATAAAGATGATGGATTATTGCGTTTGTTCCCAGCGAATCTTACTGGAGATAGTTTATTTGGTCTTACGGAAGCAGCTGTCTCAAAAATGACGGAGTCGGTAAGAATGGAAATTTTCTTGTGCGGAATTTTACCGCGAAATTTAAAACAAATATTGATATGTCTTTTGAGTTGGCCGATTTCAGTTACCAGGAGTGGACCAACTCATAACTTATACTTTCAAACACGGGGGAGTTCCTCTGATGGACTTGCCTTTAGCGGTCAATCCAAGTGGCTGCGCTAGATGCGAACCACGATTTCGAACACTTATCAAACATCGTCGCCGGAACCAGCCACCAGCAGCGACTGCTCGGTCGTCCGTTAGTACTGATGTACTTTCACGCGATACAAGAAGTTTGTTCTTCACAAATTATGAACAAAAATAGCTGAAGTTATGGGCAACTTCTACTATTGCTATTAGTTTTTGAATTTTTAAGAACTTAAATTTCTTCTTAATTACAGCACGTGGCAGTAGCAGTTCATTATCCAGCGTAGATGTGTCTGCAGGACGCGGTTCATGTAGTACAACATTAGATTGTTATGGCGGACGATGGGAACCCGGACAACTGAGTACAGCTTATTACTCTCAATATCAGAAGATGAAGAAAGAGTGGAAAAATACTGTATACTTAGCTCGTTCACGTATTCAAGGATTAGGATTGTATGCATCACGAGATATTGAAATGAATTCCATGATTATCGAATATAAAGGCGAAGTAATACGTAGTGAAGTTAGTTTTTAAAAATTGATTTTGTAGATTAAGTGCGAATTCCATTTCTATTTTTAATTTACTTTCCTGTAATGTCCTACATTGTAATTTTCTGCTATTCTAAAGGATATACATTGCTATTCTTAGCAATGATGCATGTGTTTTATAAGGCACTAAGCCTACGCTACTTGAAGGTTGGTGAAATGCGTGAAAAGAAGTATGAAGCTCAAAATCGTGGTGTGTACATGTTTCGTATTGATGATGAAAAGCTTATTGATGCAACAATGGCTGGTGGTCCAGCACGATACATCAATCATTCGTGTGATCCAAACTGCAGTACACGTTTAGTTGATTCGGGTCCTTGTGGTGATGACAAAAAAATTATCATTATTGCTAACAGACCAATAAGTGCTGGAGAAGAAGTAAATATTCAAGTGTTTTTAAGTTTTTGAAATTTCGCACTTTTATCGCAACGTTTGTTTCTATCATACCAGTTTTGAACCAAGTCGTTTTGCTATATTTTGAAAAAGGATCACTTTCTCTCATAAAGGTGTTCTTGGTAATGTTGTCTAAGTGAAATATTCATCCTTTGGATTCAATAAAGTAATTCGCAAAACAATATTTTCACTTTTTTTCAGTTAACATATGATTATCAGTTCGATATCGAAGATGTGGCTGATAAAATTCCTTGTTTATGTGGCGCACCGAATTGCCAAAAATGGATGAACTGAGTCTTCTGCATTTTTTTTTTGAAAAGTTTTCGGTGGTTTAATTTTTATAATAAGTTCTCATTATAGTTCTTTTTTTCACACCACTGATGTTTTCATTCGTGATTTTAGGAATGTAGTATAGGACAAGAACACATTTTTGTATGCTCACCCGTTGTGTAGGCTGTTTTTTGTTTAGTCTTTTTACCTGGAGTCATTTTTCGAAGTTGTCAAGTTTGATTTTTGTTAGGAGATCATCTTGTGTGACGGTTTCTGAAACCATTGAAATGAAATGGATTTCTCTACTACTGTAATATAGTCTTTGATTTTTTTAAAGCAATCACATGTGTTAAATCAGTTCCGGGAGAAAAAAGCGCACTTTTTTTGTAATCATCTATATTTCACTTCGAACATCTCTCTCGTACTTTGGATTTTAAAGCAAATCTCAGTCTTTTGTAAACTGCAGTAACTTTTTCCTAATTCCTATTTTAAATATCTAAAGACAGTGATGAATCATTGTATTTTGTTGTCATGAAATTAGGAGTGAAAAATGTTTTTATGTTCATTAAATTTTATATTTTTTATTATTCATAACATCACGGATTCGTGCTGTTTTCTATTTCTCAACGTTACATTTGTTACAAGCAAACAAAGAAGTGAGTTCGAAATGTGAGAAAACAGTCATTGGCAGTTGAACATATCTGCATGAATATTAAATGTATTTGGAATTTGAATTCTTTTTAATAACTTTTCATTTTTTACGAAAGTTTCCTTTATGTCTGTTAAATTGCTTCTTTTTTCACTTAGATATGTGTAAAGATAATTAAATGGGTGAATTGAACAATGATATGCTTTTTTTCTGGAGAAGACTCCATAAAGGAACTACATAGCTATTTTCTACTGTTTGGGATAGCTAAGTTCTACATCATCCTTATGCCTACGGTGGTTTGTGATCTTTTGCAAAACTCTTGTTATTTCTCCAAATTTTTGTTTTATCTTTTTTTTTATTCTTGACTTTTTTTTGCCTCTTTCTTTATATCTATCTGGACGAAATGCTTTTCCGTAGCATATATATTCTATTAGTGTAGTTAGCTTCATCATCGTCATTGGTTTTTTAGATTGCTGGTTAAAATAAATCTAGGAAATGGAGCAGGAAGCAGTCTTTGATGTTGGTGATTTCGATGAACGAGATGTCTCGCTAACTGAGACACCTCGAGATCCATCGCATTACCTGCAGCAGGTTACTAATTTAACAAATATTTCCTTAAAGAGGGAAGCCGTTTAGGAACACTTATTATTCATTTATTTTGATTGAAGTACACGTAGTGTGCTGGTTATCACAGTACTGCTGATTGTAAGTCAGCAAGCAAATACATTAAACAGTTATGTTTTGATGAAGTTACCAGCATATCTGGTTCCAGTAGAGCATGATTGGAATAATAGAAAATCAAATTTTTTGATTTTGAAATATTGGGAGAGTGGAACTTAAATTTCATGGCATAAAGGAATTCGAGTACCAATTCAGCATGCTGGCACAGATTTGAATAAGAAATTGTAAAGATGTACAAATTGAGTTCAAAAATTTTATTCTTTTTTTCATGCAGGTTAGTGTATCGCGTGCACGTTGTCCAGAAGTAGTTACAGCAAAAACGATTCCACAAAAAATTGCCTCTTCTGCAATATCGGAGGATTTATTGTTCAGCTGTGAACCGCCTTCTAAGTGGTCTATTGCCATGGTAAATTGGCGTTTTTTTAAAAACTGAATCTTATGTTCCGAATAAGGAGATTTTATTTTAAAAAACTTCCCAAGAAAAGATTGAGTTTTGCCGTAAATTATTTTGCTCATTGTTCTATAGTCCTTTTGAAACATTTCAGCTATACATATGTTCACCTTATTTCCTAAAATTCATATCTTTTGGAATATTAACTAGCTATTACGCTTTAGAGTAATAAATTTTCAATGCAACGATCTCTTGTTGATGCTCAAAAGTGGCGCTGGAGAAAGACTATAACTTTTAAATGGCCAAGCTTAGTAAGTAATCCTATTGGTGTTGCTGAAGTTCTTTTCTCGATGCAACATGGACTTGTCATGTTTGGTTTATTTAAAAGTCTTTTTTAAGAATGGAAGAGTCTTTTTTAGGTGTTATTTATTTACCATTCAGATCACAGTAGATTACTGTATTTTCATCTAAGTTTCTTTTTTATAATATGATTAATGATAGATAGTATTTAATAGAGAAAGTATCTAATCAATTATCATTCGTCGTATTGTTATTACTTTTTATTGATAAATGAAATAATATAAAATTTTCTCTATGTTCAGAAGGATCCCGAGGAATGGCGTGTATTCTGTTTAGAAGAACGGATTAACTCATTTCCAATAAAAGTAAATGATATTCCAAGGTTTGCACATCATCGCGGTAATCCACCAACATTACAACTCGTGTTCAGTTTATCAGAACAACAAGTCAACATTTTGATTCAATATCTTATAGATGTACAAGTTTTAAATCAAGTTCTTTATTAAAGTAAGAAGTTGAGTTAGAAAGATGATTACTTCATAGGGCAGAAATGCTGAACGAATATATAAAAAATAAACAAACAGTTTATCTCCAAATAGATTATCCTTCATTTTTTTGTTTAAAATTTTTAGAAGTTTGAAGTGCTTTGTATATTTGCTTGTAAGTTACCATTTTTAAAGTGCATTTATAAGTGCCAGTTTTATTACGAGAGCTACAACACATCAATTAAGGTTATTTATTTGCATGAGATAGTATTGATTTGCTGCTTTTAAATAAATTCCGAAATTCAAGAATAATTAGAAACATTCTCAAATATAAGTCATATTTGAAATAGCTGAGAACTTCACCATTTTGCGAGTTGTAAATAAAATACAGTTGTTAATAGTTACATGATAAAAATACCGTGAGATGATAAGTACGACATGATACTTTATCTATGGCTGGAAGTGGTATCACAATTCATTTATTCTAAGGTGAATTGAAGACTTCATTAGAGTTTAACTGATATTTAACAACTCTAAACTGCTTTTTTTGTTTTCAGGTTTTTCTTGAGGAAGGGTATACGAGACCACTATTTGAATGGATATACGCACTAATGTTGGTATTACAGAAACCGTTAACGCACAATGTGTGTTCAGCGATACGGCAACTGGCTAAACATTCACGTGTCTTACGAAATACGTTGGATGAAAAAACACAAAGTGGTAGCACAATGCACGAAGAATTCTCACTGTTTATTGCAGTTGTTGGTGTCTATTTCGAGCAGTTAGATATTGCCGATCAGATTTCTTCTTAATTTATCTTTATTTACATTAATTTCGTCAAGTGCCATAAATGCATATCACAAAGTCTCTTGTTGTTATCTTCATTTCATTTTGAAAAGTAATAAAAAAAATAAGGATACCACTGCCCAATAAAGCAGGTGTTATTTTATTCATACTTTCACTATCATATTTTCAATTATTTCATTAATAAAATCCGAATCGATAGACTTCATGACTCTATCATTCATGAATGACAAATCACAGCAATTTAATGTGGATGTTTATAAATTGTATATAAAGATATTTGTTTGTTTTAATTCTGTGCAATTTGTAGTTAGGAAAATGACATAAGAAGTTAGGATAAATGTTTATTGTTGAATGTAATTTAACATAGGGAATTATTTTCAAAATATATGCAATAATACCGGGAAATTTGTTGAGAATTGGCCATGTACTAATTTGGACCTTTGCTTTTCTGAAAAATTTCAACTAATCAGTTTTTATTTCACAGGAATGCTATTGATTAGTGCTACCTCTGTAATGAATTTAATTCTACGTATAATATGGTCAAAATGTTTACCTTCACTAACAAAGTAATATTTAACTAAAGGGAGCTAGTGTTGAATCACTTCGATTTGTTTAATAATATCGGTTTTGTTTACTAAACATTGTCTTTTGATTTCATTGCTGTTAATTTTATGCTTTAAAATCAATAAAATATTCATGTATTCCGATTATATATATATATATTTGTCCTTAATACGGTTAGACATATTATATATTTTATGAATAAAATGAGAAATATTAGGAAACCCTTGATTTGGAAGAATTTTTTCGCAAATTTTCGAGACTTTCTGTATTTTCTTTGTTTGTATTTACTGGCATAATTGCAACATACTCTGCTCCATCATCCATGGCTCTATCAAAATACTAAAGCCATTATTCAGTCTTTATTAAAATGTTTAATTACGAACGAGAAATTCATCACTCTTATCATTTTGTATTTTAAACTTTTAACAGATCGGTAAATTCCATCTTTTCTCAAATTCTACTATTACAAATTACATTAAAAACGCAATGAAATCTCTACTGAATTATAAGAATTATAAGATGGAAAAACAAAAAGATGTAGTCTTCGATTAATAGAAATGTGAAATTGACCTCCTCCGGAAGCATATTCATCATATATTTTTCTGCTACATCTCGACTTTCCGTTTCAGCTGCACCGTATGTACGCGCATAGAGGGGTTGCATGAAGACGTAATCAGCAGTATCAATTTCATCTTCTCTTGGCACTGGATTCTCTTCCATTTGCTTAATTTTTCGGACTTCATCACTGAGGAAAGCATATACTGATTTAGAACCATCTTCTTCAACTTCTGCTTTTCCTGTCTAAATTCATGTTTTTTCTATTTGTTTCTTAAATTCTCAGTTATTATAAAAATTTTTTGAAACTATCAATTTCAGTTTTCTTTGTCATCACGCAGACCGTTAAAATTTTTGTCATTAAAATAATGATAATTTATATACTCTTATATAATTGCAGTTATTATCTCGTTTTGCTGCATATTTAATAATGTTTTATAAGTATGCCAGTAGTATTATAAATGGCATATTTTGCTTTTTTAGTTTAAATATTATTTAAATTCCGTTCTATGTTTATGAAAGAAAATAAGCAAAAAAGGAGAGAGAAGGAGGGGGGGAAAGATGATGATAAAAAAAGAATTTGCAAAGGATTGATATGTCACTTCAGTTTCTGCGATTTTTGATTCTTCAGCGACTTTTTTCACTTTACTATCAAGAACTTCAACGTCTAATGCTTGATCATCCTTTTGCGCATTTTGAACAACATTCACTTCAGTGGATGTCAATTTGTCATCTTTTATTTTCCGCTGTTGCGTACGCATTGATGTTTCCATTTCTTTACGATACGTTTCCAGCAGTTCCTTTTGCGCTTCTTGATATTCTTGTTGAAGACTGGCCTGTGAATGTGATAATTTTGCCGCTGTCACTCGTTGTTGTTGTGTTGGCTAGAAAAGAAAAATAAATTGATTAAAAGAAGGAAATTTTTGGCATTAAATATAGAAAATTAATGATCAATCGATTGATGGATTTGTTTTTTACTTATTTATGATCACATTTAAATTTAAAGCATTAGGTAATCAATTAATAATATGGATTAGTGCAGTTTCTTAGCGATTAATAACAAATGCTTAAATTAATCAAGGGATTTTCTAACCAATACTTATGCAGGTACACTTGAATATTTCCTATTTTTTCCGACTCATAACAAATGATTGGAATAATTCCCCACTTTGTGTTTTCTCCTCTTTCCTTTTCCCATTTAAATTTAATTTAATCAAAACAAAAAATAACTTTTAAATTAGCTCTAAAATATCGAAGTCTTTTTTCTTACAAAATTTAGATTTTTATTAGAATATGATTTTGAAATTATAAAAACAAATAGTTGAAGAAAATAATGAAGGAATAATTATACTGGTGCAAATTCTTCGGCTCCTGTTGCCTAAAAACAAGCGGAAGTAAAGTAGAATTCGACTATAATTTTTTTGCATTTTTTGCCAAAAATCAGATTTTAAGGTCTAAAATTCGAAAAAAGGACAAAAAAGTGCAAATTAATAGTCAGTAATTCCCGAGGAAATACCGTTTTCTTTTTTATTGTTCCTTTCTTTTTTTTCTGTTGTTGAACAGGCCTAGAATCGGTCCCTATAGTCGATACAGGAGTAACATCCTGACTTCTTGGTGTTCCGGTCGAGACTGGCGACCCTTTTTTTGATATTGTTATTGGCGATACTGATGATGTTGACAATGCCGTTACCGGTTCTGGTGTGATCAGCTTTTTGGGTCGTGATTTTTTCCTTTTTTCACGGATCGGTAACGGAATTTGCTTCCGATGTGTACGAGTAAAATAAAATTGCTCATAATCGCGGCAAAATTCTAGAAAATTACGTTAATATGCTCGAAAATAATATGATGTTTAAGTAAAAAAAGTGGCTGAAGTAGTTTATGTAACTTCAATCAGAAACAAAAACATGCATGCACGCGTGCATGCCATCGTTGCAATATACTGCGACAGCGTGGTATTTCAATATTTTACATTTCATTAAAGTTACTGCAATCATATGTGCTACAAATGATTCCTTTATTTTTACCATTTCAATTTTCGCTCAGAAATCAACTAATTAACAATAAAAAAATTATCCCTAAAATTTTTTTTGATTTAAAATTTTAAACTTGCTTGCAACAGATTTATCGGAGACGATACCCTTATTAACCAATCGTTGTATTGTAAGATAATGTATGTACAAATATTGTTCTTCATTTTGAACCGCACGTGAACGTTGTGATCTAACTGACCAAATAATATCCGTTACTACCGGAATACGACATGATAACAACGTTCTGAAATAATTTTCCTTAATTTTGTTAAAAAAGAATTTTTCAAAAAAAAACAAAACAAAACAAAAGAGTTTTAATTCAGATAATTCGAGTAGGAATATTATTACATGATTTATTAAAATATTTTTTGCTGCTCTTCTTTTTTTTTGTTTAAGTTATCAAATATGATTAATTATCCTTTTCGTAAGAGATGATGAATTTATAATAATAGAATATGAATGAGTTAATAAACTAAATTACCAATTTTTTTTAGCTACCTGTATTCTTCATTCTATTTTCATATTTAATATTAATACTCTATTGGATCAAATAATCTTTTATTTAATACTTGATCTATTCTATTTTATGCAAATTAAAACATAATAACATTTTAATTCGTACAAAACTTTTACGAATCATCTGATTTTAGTTTTACATCAAATTGCTTTTGATTTGACAATCTCTTTGAAGGTAGTATTAGTTTGTCACAAATAAAAACACTCAAGTTTTCAAAACTTGAGTGTTTTTATTTTTTTTTATTTTTGTTTTTTTTTATTTTTTCTAAGTCAAGATTTAAACTTGCCTAGAAAGTAATTCGAGTACCACTAATGTACCTGTCCGTCCGATTCCAGCTGAACAGTGTATAACAGTGGGTGTTTTTCGGGCTCGAGCTGAACTAAGTAAAGTATACGGTACGGTTAATTGACTTGGAACAAATCTATCAGGCCACGATACCCATTGATAGTGCGCAAGCGGACGTCGTGCACCGCGGTATGTCAACAGTAGTGCAGTACAATGTACATCTGGATCACTTGTTCGTTTCTGGAACAATTTAGCATTAGCATTCATTCTCTCCTAATACACAATTAAGTGTGTCATTTTCTAGTGAGCACTTTCTTGAAAGCTTCCAGATGCAAAAATTTCATCAATTTTAATTCATTACTAGCTTATCTAATTTTATGAATCATTTTTGTGTTTCATATTAATTATTAATGTATCATTTTTACAAAATAATTATCATATAAAAGGTCATATAATATTTTCATTAATTGCTTTTTCAATCCAATACGTGGTGAATTTTTAGCGGAAAACGAACATGAAAACTTACTTCGACAGCTCGGATTGTGATACCACAAAATGTAAGCACTTGGCCTTGATTTAATGGCCAATATTGGGCACATTTGTTGCGATTTTCTTCAAGCGTACGACAAAGCATTATAATTAATTCAACATTTTCCTGCCAAACCATACGCCAAAAATCACCACAAGTTTGATTCAGTGGACCCTTAACATAATCAGTATGACTGCATTATTCTTTATTGCTATCATTATTAGTAATAATATTTTTATATAATAATATAATAAAAGCATTAATAATAACAATAATAGTGAATAAATAAAATAAATACATAAATGATTCACATTAAAAAAAAGAAACTTTTTTTAAGAATTACTAATGGCATAAAAATTATGAATGGAATAAAATACAAGAGCAGCAGGAACGTAGTGCTGGTAATAAGTAATTGGTAAGGAATTAATACTTGTGTACAAATGAAAGGACAATCGAGAAGTTCACTGTTAATCCAGTTCGCATGTATGAAATCACCTTGATCTTCTGGCCACGGTTTGAGGAACA